CTGTGACAGTTGTCTGCCTAGAATTAACTGACCTTTGGATCTGTTATTAATCAATGGATTATTTATTGTGGAGAATTGTGTTACAAATTTTGAATTTTAATTAATTATTTACTTCCTTCTATTGATTGTTATCTAATCATCTTTTCCTGGTTGTATGTATGTATCATATAATACATTTTTTGAGCTAAGATCCTGAAGAAGTAATCTGATAAAGCTATAAAGTCGATAGATCTTATTATCATAAATGATCGTCCAATAGAGAAATCGTAGATGTTTGGAACAACCATATACCTAATATCTACACTCATAAATTGTTAAGAATAATGTACTTATAAAAATAAAATCATCGTTCCTAGATCTAAAGATAGGTTAACAGCTGTTCTTCAGCGAATACTATATTCTAACCAATTTGATAATAATTGAAAATAGCATTCTTCATCAAAAATCGAACCCTCTATTTACTTGCCAAATATAGAACTATATGGATGTTACTTTTGGTCATTACTGATTTCAAAAAATTACCACAGGTAAGAGTGTAAATATAAGTATGGATCTAAAATAAAGAGACTGTGAAACAGCTTAAGATTATGGCGGTAACTTGACAATGAACGCTTAGAAAAGTTAAGGATGCGTTTTGTACATGTATCAATCACACGCATGACTATCATAAATATGAGGTCTAGTCTATCTCAATATTTCATGAGAAAAATATCAGTGAGGCCTAAAAACAAGGCTCATAACACAAGGGCAGTCATCTTGACTAGAGAAAGGAGTAAATGATTTACAGATAGTTCAACGAATGTTGAAAATTAAAAATTATTTAAGCCTACAACAATTAAGTAACATCTTGAGACAAGAAAGATATTCTCAGAGGAATATCAATATAACAATCATCTCTCCATCTGACAAATTTTTATTTTTTCACAAATTCGACTTTCGCATACATGTCTATTTCATTCGCCACTCAAGTGTGGAAGAATTATAAATGCTGATTCTACAAAATTACCAAATCAGTCAGAGAAACCACATCGCTTGAATCAGCTGTAAGTAGTCTGTGAGAAGAACCCAACAGCCAATGAACTGTAAGTTGAAGAAGAGAGTTCTTCATGCTCGTGAAGATTCTGCCTTGAAAAGATTCAAAGAATTTGAAAATTTGAAAAGGAATTGAATAAATTTTCTCTTTTCTTTGCTTCGGCTGGCAACGTACTTCCCGTCGCTTTTCAGAATCTGAAATGCAGAACCGGAAACGAGGGAAAAGGGAATCGTTTATACACCTTTGTGCAGTAGATCGAGTCCCTTTCAGACCATGAACAAGGTTTAAACCTTTCGATCGTTGCGAGGCGAAACTTTTTTCTACCTTATCGTTGTTATTGCTATTACTTTTCAAAGTATTCACCGCGTCGAGTTAATTCGGCGATGTGTCGGCGTAAATTTATTCATGAAACCTACGCTTCGCAGTGAAACGCAGGTTGTCTGTATTCAAGAGAGCAATCGAGAATTCGTGCGAGAAGTGTGATGAATGTAAGCTTTGAGATAGATGGATGTTATTGAAGGTTGATTGAAAATTATGATCTATGTATCAGTCCGAGGAAACATGGAAGATAGATATATGTTGCACACGAAGAAAGAGACAAATGGGTGTAATGGAGGGTCCAGTGAAATATCGAAAAATGATCGAAGGTTGTTGTACTTGGAATGAAGAAGCTTTAAATTTAATTTAAGCTTTTAATTTAATTTAATTTAAGCTTCTGTGGATTTTATGAATTTTTACATTAAACCGAGTAATAATAAGTTTATAATTATTTATGATATATCAGAGGATCAATTTCGAGCTATTAATATTTAAATACTTTAAATATTATATGCTTAAAGAAAACAATTCTCAAAATTTGTATCATAATGTCAATTTTAGGTGCTTGAAGATATCATAAGAATTTGTTCAGATCTTTTCTTTAATTATATAAAAAAAAAAAAAAGCATTTATAGAGGAGTCAAATATTGTCTATTTTAGATTTCAATTCCTATGAAAAATATAAATTCAATATGAATAAAAATAAAAATATAATATCGAGATTTTACATATTTACGTTAACAAAGAAGTATAAAATTTCCTTTTTTAAGCTGTATTTTTAAAACAACCACTTGTTAAAAACAGAAAGGCTTGCCTCTGTTTAAATATTCAAAGAAAAAGGATATTTTTAATACTAACGAATTTAAAGAAAATGAAAATACATATACCTAAATTTTTAAAACAATTCTTACATATTTGGGTCGTGACATTTCGACGATCTTAATGAAGCTTTCATGCAAAAATTTTATTCTCAGTTTGAACTCCAGAAGACATTAACGAAGTTTCAAAGTATTAATCAGAAATTTAACATTCCGATGGATTACAGGGACATTAAAAATTTCCTGTATCAGCCACGCTTACCATATTCCTTGAGGAAATATTAAACGGGTCCCGAGCAAACAGAAACAGGAACCATTAAACTTCCCCTTAACGTTTCAGTACCGACCATACTTTGTACCGATATCACGTAACAGCGGCAAAAGATACGGCCACAAATTGAAGCTGTATAGATCCGGAACTCGCTACCCAACCGCTCGCCCATCGAGACGGTCCCAATGAACTTTATAATCGTTTCGTTGCACGTATTTCATTTCATCCGTGGGACCTCGCTCAGACCGCCTTTCGTTCGTTCGTTATTAACGTTCGAGCTTATCCGTGTGTTCGTCGTCCCAGTATAACGCCGATAACATTATTGAAACGTGACAAGCCTGTTCGACGTACTTACACGCCGTTGCACAGCTTACAGAAGATCCCACAAGATGGCGCGCTGCTAAAGCAATAACGCAGTCGACAAAATGGCGGAGCTTCAGATTTGAGATACCACGGGATACACGATGATATAGGCTCTCTACGTGGTTACAGGTATTTATTTTTAGTTCTATTGCTCTGCGAACGATTTATTTGGTATTCCGGAAAGTTCGTGCCGATTTTTGGTAGGTAACGTAAGGACAGATCTGAATATGTCAGAACGATTGAAAACAAACGACATGCGTACATATCGTAAATGACAGTACTTCAGGCATATTTGGGAAAAAATTTGGATACTACGCGTTAATTTATGTTTGTTTTATACGCCTTTAAAGATGGAAGAAAACCAAGTGCATTTTAGGCATTTAATGCTTTTCTTTTACCGGAAATATGCGTTTATGGCGAAGTTGGAACAACGAATTATGAATTAGGATTTTATGGAAAGTTTCCTGTACCTTTTCTATGTTTGTATGTTATTTTTAATACGAAGCATTTGGTTAAGGATTGAATTAATTAGAGTCGTCCAAGTAACTACGTATCTGTCATTAACACCCTTACTCTATGATTCAATTGTGAAAAATATATTGAATGTAATGATAGTCAAATCATTAAATCATTACGTGATTTAGCATGAAAAACTCAATACCTGGATTTATAATTGTGGCACAAGAGATTTGATAATTTTTGAATTTTATTCATATCATTTTGAATCCATTTTGCTATCATTATTCCAAATATTTTCAATACTTTCGAATGTAATTGTAAGAAATAAATTGAAGATTAGATTTGTGGCTTAGAAGTGTCTTTTATAGTACATTTTTGCAAGCCTTCTACTATAATATAGCTAATGGAAAATTTCAAAATTTATTTAATTAATCTATTCACTTCAATTTGCGTTTATTTATCTTTCAGTTGAAAATTATTTCCAAATTTTGCCCCCATTTTATCTATTCCCCCAAATCACAGAATTCATAAATGAAAATTATTCTGCAGTTTCCCATAGAGAATGTTCTGGATATTTTAATCATCAAATGAATTACAATATTGGAACTGGGTGTATCAATAATTTATGGATGGTACTATCTACGTGAAATTTACGACTGCTTCCGTTAATATGATATATGTACATTATAAAATTAAGCAATCTGGAAACATCATATAGCAATAACAAATTATTGTACTTCATAAATTACATTGGTATCTCATTAGGTTCTATACATTTGAATATCAATTAAAATGAATGTAAGAGCAATTAACAAAGACTTTTTAATATAAGTTTTAATTTTTTAATTTTAATTTAAAATGGAAATAATTCCATTTAAGAAAAGTTGAGGAATTAAGTTGCTCTCGTCTTTTTATTCCTCATAACGAAATTACTTCGTAATCGAAATTCGAACTGGCGCAGAATACTTATATAACATTTAATAGGAATAATATCCACAGAAAAGATGAAAAAAATAATCGGACATTAACGAAACGATCTACAGCTCTTCTTTTAGAGAGATAACACTAATAGAAACACGATTAAATATTAAATTTTTCACAGAAAAATATTCGTATTTCCAAAATATCTCTATACTTCAAATTATTATTTCATCTCTATATTTTTATATAATATTAAAATCCAGGCTTGAAGAATACCAATTTCAGTGTCCAAATTCATATTTTTTTCCTATAGAAAAAATTCTAAAGAACATTTCTTAATTATCTCTTAATATCCACTATTTTTAAATATTGCACAAAATTTCAATTTTCTTGGCAAAACGCAGTAGCCAAAAATAATTCCAAGAACAGTCTACTTTCGTAAACAGAACCTACAAATGTTCCTTTGTATTAAAATTACCACAATTCCATCACCATGAACTCAGCGAATATTCTACCTCTGCATTTTTCAAAGCCCTTTATCGAACGGCACGTGTAAATGTTTCAGCTGACAACACAGAAACGTCTGCTGAATTCCGCGTGTATTAATCCCCGTGTATGCAAACATTATCGAAGTGGTATTTCATTTCGCGCAGCGTATGAAAACAAGAATGGTTGGCATCGTTCCACGAGCCGTTCGAATCCCATAGCCGTCGGTACAAATTAAAATAAAATAAAAAGAAAAATACAGTAAAAAGAGAGGAAAAGGAAAGAAAATTAAAAATTGAAAGAAAAAGGATCGTGCAGTTTATTTACGTACCGTCTGGCCGTGGGAGTACGAATTTTCATCGACGACGCATTTTTTCGCGAACGATTCCTCTGTCGTTATCTCATTCCTGCCATCTTCTTGCACGGCAATGTCTGCTTCCCCGAGAAGGACCTGGCTGGTGGTTCGTGCTGGAACTGAGAGAAGAGACAAGATTAGAGGAGCGAAGTCGCAGGAGCAATATTCTGAGATTGATCGAAACCGATTTCTCGATCAAGATTGCATGTCAGTAATTTTCGAAGCTCGAATGTCGAGGAGGACTTTATTCTTGGGGAGCGACGAAGGGTAAATTATATAGGGTTATCAGAGAATTCGATGAAAGGGGAATGATACCGCAGGAAACAATCGATTTAAGTTGTTAGAGATGGAATTGATATGGAATTGCTGGAGGATATGTGCGATGAGAATGAATGAAAGTTGTAATATATTAATATATAATAATATAATAATACATAATAATATATAATAATATATATAATATACATTAATATATATGTAATATATAAAGTTGTAATATATTTTGCAATAAACAATAGAAAAACGTAATAAAGGTATAATTTTATTGCTATAACGAAAATTTATTAACTGTTAAATAACGAGACTTTTGTCATTATAATATTTGTGTTATAATTGTAGAAATGGTATATTCGTATTGTATGATTATCACGTGAATTTGTCTGTAATAATTAGTTATGATTTTCATGACATTTTGTGTAATAATTTGGGGTGGCTGATTTTCTGAATATGTTTTATGGCAAATTCCTTTTTAATTATGATGGATTGTGCATATATTTTGCGTTTAATGAGACTCTTTAGTTGTATTATTGCTGTAATTGTAATACAGCACTTCGCTAATATTTTGCATTCAATCATCTTTTACTCGTGGCTACCCGTTTTCTTATTCTCCCATTACAAAGCTGATTATTCCACTTATTGGTTCTTAACCCCTTGGCCTACGGTACAAGTTCCAATGCTGCGTGCCATAATCAACAACTGAGTTGTCGAGCCATTTTGTTTGAACGTGGCGAAAAATAACACGTAACTGACAACCAGAAAGACACTGTTGTTTATATTGGGTTTTATACAAAAATTACGTCTCTCATCCGTGACTGTTACGTTTGGCCCGATTTCCTTACCACGAGTATCACACGATGTTGTAGGCGAAGGAGTTAAGATCGAGTAGAATTATATAAATCTTTTTAAATTTCTTAAGAAACAGCAAATAAAATAATATTTTAGGTATTACTTAATTTTCTAGTTGTACTATATTTGTGTTCAATACTTATTCGAAATTCTACATTGTTGAATTTTACAGTGTTCATAATCTTACTTTCTCATAATCAATTTTTAATTACTTTATATTTTGAATGTAGTTCTTATTTATTAACACGATCTTCACGACATCATTGACTTAATAAATAATACCTTTAATTGAGAATTAAATTTCAATAGATGAAGTTTTTAATCATTAAAAGGCAATAAAAATATTTAAGATATAAATTCTTCCTGATTTTGGAATTACTCTAGAATACTTATCTACAAAAATTATTTAAAATTTAGTATATTCATTTATTGTATATATTCGCATCGAGTTCTCAATATAATCTTTCACCTCCTTTGATTCGCTCCTTCATTCCATTCGTGTCTAATTTTCAATTGTTTCACATTAATATTCGATTATCATTTTCCCCTGTCTGCCCATTTCCTTATTCGCGCCACTGCGTCCGACTATAATGCTAGTTACTCCACTTACTCCTTCTTAAGGGTAAGATTTCTATTACCTCTTACTGCCTCTAAGGCTTTTATTGCCTTTAATGTCTTCATTCTCTCTCACACCCTTCCTTCGCAACTAAATTCCTTACAATTATACGTTTTCCATTATTACAGAGAAAAGATCAAAGGAAAAAAAGAAGAAATAGAAAAAGAAAAACAGAAAACAATTAAGAATATATAAAATTCGAAGGTTACATAATTTTCCAGAATTACATAGTATTTCTCTAGAATACCCAACATCCTGAATATGTAAAATACCTAAAAATAAATGGCGAAACATATACAAAGGTAGGGGAAAAAAAGAATCGGTGCATTTTTTTTTATTTTTCAGATAAATACTAAATCAATAGTCATATGTATATACATATATACAAAACAAGAAAAAAAAAAAAAAAAAAAAAAAAAATAGAAAATCGTTCACACAAAACACAGGAAAGCTTCTGGCTCCCATTTCGAATTCTCTTTTCGTCGACAACGAACGGACTGAATCGTTTTAATTTTTACCATACAGCCGACGATCCGGCAGCTTTGAAACAAAGTTTTTCCATTTTCTAGGAAAAGCGAGGCAACCGCGGCAGCAGCAATAATGAATCCTGGCCGAAAGGATGCAGCATTCCGTAAATGCATCGATTACTTATCACGTAAGTGGTAAGTTCACGTGCAGCTAGTTGGATAATGGTAGCGTTTCAGGAGTCTAGTCACGTATTTCATTCAGATTCGTAGCCCATAAATTATTTTTCGAAAATAATAATGTCACGTTGGTATCGGTATCTTGTGACAGTCTGTTACAGTTACAATGAAAAATATAAGCTTTATATTCTAAAAGTGAAAGAAATAATATAATTACGTACGAAAATTACAATTATACTGATACATTTTTATTAAATTAAGCTGTAATTAACAAACGTGTACGTTTTATATTCCAAAAATGAAAGAAATAATTCTTTTTAATAAAATAAGAGATTTATCCTTATAATGTTTATTAAAGAAAGTTCTTTTCAATTATAAGTTATGTTTTATATTAATTTAAAAAGGAAGAGAAAAATGGAACAGGATTTTCAGTTCACAAGATCATCTAATAGTGATAAAATTATAAAAATTAAGGGTTAATCTCTTAGTACCAAAAATATTCGTCACTCGAACTCATCCACGTGCTGTCAACGTGGGAAAATTGTTTTATAGTGAATAGACATAAATGGCACCTCCTGAAATTAATTACACATGAAATTAAAGCGGCGAATGTTTTTAAGATTTCAAACTTCTTTTTCTTTTCCCAATAGTTTCGTCGTCGCTTTTACTTTGATTTCTCTCTAACTTTCGAATCGGGTTATTCTTGTTCGTTATGGGAAAAGTTTCCAGCGCTACGTGCGAAACGCCATTATCCCGCAAGTTCGACGTTGCTCGATTTTTTCTGCGGCGAAATTTACTTACTACCACGACCGTCTAATGCTTTTTTCGCAGCTCTATTTCCGAGAGAGCTGGTTAACGACGCTTTTATCGTTTTGCACAACGAATTTTCTTAGGTATGATTTTTGAGACAGCTCTTTTGCCCTACAAATAGTTCTAAATTTCCTTTTATTACGTTCCAATTATATATTTCTAAAAAATAATTGGTAAACAAATTTATAACCTAATTAAATTAATTTCATTATTATTTAAAGATTATTAAACATATAATTTCTTTTTTAAATACGAGTTTGATTCGAAATTGCTTCTTAATTAAGATCTAGAGTATCATAAGTTTAAGTGAAGTAGAATATGCTATACTGTATAATTATTCTCAAAAGATATTTTATCTCTACTTTTCGACTTATATTTTCAAAAGAGTTGAAACTATTTTCTATAAAATAAAGTTTATATAATGAATAATTTGCATGCACTAAGAATTTGTGTCTATAATATAATGCAAAGTCGAATATTTATTTTTACTTAATTATTAATACTCAATTTTTTATTTAATACCCAATCATTTTTCCGGTATTTTATTTTAGGTTAATGTCTCTATAATATAACGCTAAGTTGAATATTTATATTTGCTTAATTATTAATACTCAATCATTTTCCCTGTATTTTATATTAGATTAATATTAAACAACTGATATTAAAATAAGTGTAAACAGCAAAATATTTAATGTCGATTGAATAAATTCCACTAAAATCAGAAGAGTCATTGAAAAGTAACAATGTAATTCATCCTCGTGAAAAGAATTCCTGTTCCTTGTAAAACCCCAGACGGAGCATCACCAATACTGAATATAATTCCGAGAAACAGAAGAAAGAATTACATTAACTAGACAAAAGGAACGAAACACAGATTTAAAAGAATCTCGAAAGAAATTTAAAAAATTTACGATTAATAACACAACGTTAAAGGTACACAAATTTTTGATACGAAGAAAAAGGAAAAGAAAAATATATTCAACGATATTACATTTTCATTTACGCGATTTCCGATAATACGTGCGGCATGATTCACGAGAATCACGGGAGAAAGCGTAAAACGAGACGGATGTTATACCGGGAGAAAATGAAATATAAAAATGGAGGGCGTTTCGCGAATCAACGAACCAGCATAAAACAGAATGTCAGGCTTTCTTTCGAAACGTACAATTTCTCTCGAGCTCGTCGTTTTGCCTCATTTATGCGTTTCCCTATTTTTCTTCTCTGCTTCCTTCTCTTTCGCCCCTCGACTGCATATTTACGACGAATCGCATTCAGCCCACGGTCAAGCGTTGCGCGAACAACGCGCCCCGCCGGTTTTATCGTAATCACGCGGCGACTGCTTTATGATTTTCCACGTCGAATTTCCGCGAACGCCGATAATTCTCCGCGAAGCACGCGAAGAAGCGTTTCTTGCAGGTGGCTTTTTCGCCAGGAAACGAGACTCGATGAGAAATTGCAGTTGCAGCTGGCGTATGTAGGATTTCGTTTTCATGTTCCGCGAGATCGTTGTTTCGACGTTTGGTTTTCCTTGACAATTAATATTTTGCGGTACATTCAATACCTATTTCACGTAATTTATCATTTTTATTATTTTCAATATTAAATACAATTTAACAATTATTTAGACTGATATATTTAGGTGATCAGGAATTATTAAAATAAATCGAGCAATGGACTGATAAACGAGAAATAATTTATAATTTTCAAGATTTTTCTTTGATAATAATCCAAAGAAAGAAAATTATTCCCGCAGTCTGTGGAAGTCCCCCCAATGGGGGTTATTAACCCTTTACACTCGAGAGGTGAGCTTCAGTCACCATTTCATAAAATTTGGAAGATCGATATTAATTAATATATCAAATTTAATGTAATGTAACAGTGTACGAGGTATTGAAATCAAATAATTCTATAATTTTATTAT